AGTCAGCCATCTTTGTCCTTCTTTTAATATGTACCCCAAATAGCTCACCTTGGGCTGGCAAAGTTGAGCCTTTTTGGCTGAGGCTCGGTACCCCATATCTCCTAGTGTTTGGAGCAGGTCTCTGGTTCCTTGGAGGCAGGTCTTGTAGTCTGCTGCAGCAACTAGGAGATCATCTACATATTGTAACAGCGTGAGACTGGGGTGGTCAGATCGGAACTTACCCAGGTCTTCGTGTAGTGCTTCATCGAAAATTGTGGACAAAATTTTGAGCCCCTGAGGTAAACTCGTCCAGGTCAGTTGTCCGCTAATGCCTTCTGTCGGGTCAGTCCATTCAAAGGCAAACAGGTCCTGGCTCTTTGGAGCCAGTGGTAGACTGAAAAAAGCATCTTTAAGGTCTAGGACTGAGTACCACTGGTGATCTGGGAGTAAAAAACTAAGGAGGGTGTATGGGTTAGGGACAGTAGGGTGAATATCCATGACTCATTTATTGACTTCTCGGAGGTCTTGTACTGGTGAGTAGTCGTTAGAATGAGGTTTTCGAACAGGAAGTAGGGGGGTGTCCCAGGCGGACTGACAGGGTCGGAGTATTCCTAATTTTAATAGGCGCCAGATATGAGGGGTTATGTCCTCCCGGGTTTCTTGTGACATAGGGTACTGGGGGACTCTGACCAGGTCTGCTCCAGGTTTAATTTCTACATAAACTGGTGGTCTATGTTTAGCTAACCCTACACCTCCAGTCTCAGCCCACGCCTTAGGAAAGGCTAATAACCACTGTTCTATATTCTCGGATGGAGAAGGAGGGGGTTGTTGGTGGAGCCTATATTCATCTTCCAGGTTTACAGTTAACACGTGAATAGGCTGGCCCTTACTGTCCATAACAGTTGCCCCTCCATTTTGAAAGTGGATTTGTGCTCCTATTTTGGTTAGTATATCTCTCTCGAGAAGTGGCTAAGGGCATTCTGGAATTACCATGAACAAGTGGGATACCTGTCCCACGCCGAGATCTACTGTTCTTCAGGTAGTCCATGAATATTGATTTGTTCCTGTGGCTCCTTGAACCCAGGAGGTCTTATTAGACAGTTTCCCTTGAGGTTTAAGTAAGACTGAATGTTGTGCCCCAGTGTC